ACCACATCTTCACCTATTGTGGTCCCACCTTCATCATTTCCCATTTCAGGTACTTCACCAGCCACATCTTCAGCCATTATGGTCCCAACTTGATTATTTACCGTTTCAGGCCTTTCATCAACCACATTTTCACCTAATATGGTCCCATCTGGTAGTGAGAGTACAGGTTCCTCAATAACACCAAGTTCAAATACAGGATGTGTAGCATACAAATGGTATTCCCCAATTATTATTGTAATGGTTCTCATCTTATCAATCCCCTTGTCATTTTTTAACTAAACTATATCACCAGCATACATGTCATCATAATACCAAAGCCCATATATAGTAGGGTAACCTAACTCTTTTAACTTGTCTAGTATTTTAAAGTAACTCCAATATTCATGATCAACATCCTAAATTTCCTCTAACCCTACATAACCTGACTTGGTAATATTGGCAAACTCCCTAGAAAACTTACCAAAATGATAGATAATACACTTAAACTTACTCTTCATGACCTAACCAACCTACATATAGTATCAAAAGTACTAAGTAAAATGAGTAAAGAAGGAAGTTAACATTTTTAGTAACTTACTATTGCAAGTTTGTACATTGGGGTTTCTTTTACAAACGATTGATGAGCGAAGTTCGTCTTCATTGGAAGGTTCTGAATAGTGTCAATATCATCTTCAATGCAACCTGCATGCACAACGTCTTTATTATTTCCTCTCTCAAGTTGAGCTTTCACCAAGAATGTCAATATGCCTTAATATCTTTCAGTTTCTTCAAATGACACTTATTTGTATTATTTTAATCAATATAAAATAAATACAAACTCCACCTCAACCATTTAAAATTCAGCAAGACAAATTTTAACATTTTTTCAACAAAAACTAACAGATATGACTAAAATATGTAACAGAGTATAAGTCAAGGGATCATTATGTAACATTTTCTTAAGGGACCAAATAGAAACATTGACTAAAGTCAAGGGACTAAAAGGGGTATTAAGCCTAAAAAGTTCAATCCAATTTAATTTTTAGTGATTTAATATATTTTTTATATTTAAATTATAAATTAATTTTTTTATTAATATTTATTAAGTTTATAAAAAATATAATAAAATAATAGTTTAAATATAATATTTAACAAAATATATTAAAATTTAACGATTGATTAGTGTTTTGGGTTGGCTAAAGGCTTAATAAGGTCACCTCATTCCAATCAAAATATTTTATCAACTAGTGAACAAGTAAACCTTCACATTGAAAAGTTGCAAATGGGACCTCGTATTCATCTCAATTGTTTACGCTTATCCAACAACCATTTTCATCTTACAACAGACCAATGAGTGATAGTTCTAATTGGCATCCATCTATAAGTGTGACTCAGAGTCACATTTCACAGATATTCACACTAGCACTTATAAGTTCCACCTCTCTTATTAAATGAGTTAATAATAAGATTGTTGATCACCGGAAACTTCTACCAATATATCGGAAGACCTTATAGTGTTGTCATTTTCAACATACCTTCGTTTTCGTTTCAATATAGATTAGTGGTGTTATCTGCAGGAATAGTCTTCTGATTCTCACGAATTATCCACCAATATTTTCATATCTACCAAACCGTATCGTTGTAACCTTTATGTTACAACTTTTGATTATTATTAACTTATTTGCAATTGTTTCATATTGTCATATCCAATGATAATAAATAAGGAAACTTGATTTACAACTCACCATAACATAGTTCACGTGTCTAATATCCGGTTTACAGTTCAAATGCTTCAATACATTGTCTTGTCAGTTCTCACTCTCACGACAGAAGAGCCACATAAACATTAAGATGTACCGACTCTGGTCCTAATCACTTTTGCAATTGGAGATTCGATATAGTTTCCAACTTTTCAACTGATTGGTCAAGAATCTCTTTAACTTCTATCGTTTTAACAGTAACTAGATGCAGACCTGTGGGATGTATGAGTATTTTGAAATGCTATATATAACATTTATATTAGTATGAAACAAATAGTTGAATGAAAATAAAATAAATATCATAAAAGAAATCATTAAGTTTTATATAAATAATCTACCAACTAACTCTAACATTCTGGAACACTTATCTGTAAACCATATTTTCAGTTACATTTGAACCTTCACCTTTATCGTTAGTTATTTATATCTTTAAGCTCATCCTTGAAGTAACTCTAGATAAAGCAACATATAATTGTCCATGAGTGAAAAATGATTGGGTCATATACACTACAACATGTTTGAGTGACTGTCATTTACTCTTGTTGATAGTCATAGCAAATGAAACAATCAATGGAAATTGCTGACACTGAAATTTGAAAGGAAGCCATTTATCTGAAGGAGTCAGCGATAACCTTGAAATAAAAATTTTCTCACCAATATTGCTACCAGATATATTTTTTCCTCAAGCACATACCTTCCTATTTTTGTAATTATCAACCGGGTGCCATTGCACAATCCTAAAGATGAGTCTATATTTCTCAATAGCATGACCAGGACTCCGACATTTAATTTTAATTTGTAATTTGGAAGTCTAGAAGAAACAATTGCATTTAAAAATTCAGGAGTATACACGTCATTTGACATGTCAACATTTAATCTAGCATTACATGGAGAGTCATAACTCAAATAAGTTTGTTATTCTCTAGGTGTTAGATCAAACATGTAGACATTTATTGCATCCACGATTGCATTCTTAAGAGCTAATATAGCTCTATTCTATAAAAAAATGATGGATCACTCATGTTATGCATAGACATGGCAATATAACCCATACCCGCGGTTACCTGCCCGAACCCGCCCCGAATTTGACGGGGAAAATCCGCTTTGACTGAGTTTGGGTTCGGGTTTGGGTTTTCCTCGATTTTTAAATATGGGGATGGGGCAGGTAATGGAGACTGTAGTACCCACCCCGAACCCGTCCCCGAACCCGCCCCGTTTATTATTATTATTATTTAAAAAAATCATAATATTTTTTATAAAATCATACATTATATTTTTAACTCTTCCACTTCTTGTTGATTAGTTGTTGGTTATCAATTAGACATATACAATGGTCAATTTAAAAATTGAAGTTGAACCATTCCAGAATATACATTTACGGTTGGATGGTAGTTTGTAATATCAATTTGTATTTTATTATTTAGTTTTTATATTTTGTATTATTTGGTTTTGCTAATTTGAAATATTAATTGTATGATTAATGAATTAATACTTTCGTTTGTATTTTATAATTCGAAGTATATGTTTGAAATTCTTCGAGATTGTATTTTATTTCTGTAATACAAGTTAGTATTTCTTAAGATTGTGACAGGTTTTGGGTTTGGGGCGAAATTTGGGTTCGGGGCAAAATTTGGGTTTGAGGCAGGATTTGGGTTTAGGGGCGGGCGGGAATCCCCGAACCCATTTGGGACGGAGTTAGGGTTCAATTATTCATCCTCGTTGGGGTTCGCGGCGGGGAACGAGGATTTATTTGAGATTTGGGTTTGGGGAATACAAAAACCGTCCCGCCCCGCCCCGTTGCCATCCCTAGTTATGCATTATATATGGATATGTGTTTTGAACAATAGTTGAAAGTGGATCACCAAAGCTAGCAATCAATAAATCTTGTGGTATCTAAACTCTGATATCTTCATCATTTGCGTTTCCGATACTTCCATCATTAATTCCCAAAATCCACAATGAAAAAATCTTTCTCTCTTTAAAGTATGAATTTGTACCTCCGGTTAGAAGTCTCATGTTAGTGGTTAATGTACACATTTCACAAAAGCTCCACAAAAGAAAAGAATTTATAGTAGAATGAATAACTTTTTGTCTTGTCCCTTTAGGTATAACAAGAAGAATTTGACAAAACTCTCCATCAAACACAACTACCCTTCCACCAAATGGAATACTTTTTGCTCTCAGTATATCCTTCAAAGTATGATCAACATCTTCAAAACAGTGTTTGTGCATTATAGGTGCTTCATCCCATATGATTGGCTTTATTTGACATATTAAATCAGCTAAAGGGTCTTTTGGAGTTATTTCACATGTTGAATATTCATCAACATTTAATAGGATTATGAACCTCGAGTATGCGGTTCTTCCACTAAGAATCAGCAATCTAAATATCCCACTTTATGCCACTGTTAGGACAATATCACCTTTCGACCTCAATGTTGCAAACATTGCTTTCCAAATGCAAGTCTTACCAGTTCCTCCATAACCATAAACAAAACAAAAGTGTCTGGCCTATTTTCTTTGACCTTTGTCATGATCCTATCATATATTCCCTTCTGTTTAGTTGCCATTGATGACATCAATTTATGTTGTTCCTCATCTAAGTATTCTATTGTAGTTCAACTCATCGAAAATTTATCGATTTTGTCTCTCTAGTAACAATTCCCTATCCAGCTAAGGCATGTCTGGATAATTCTCTAGGCTCGCATTATTGCTTTGAAACAAAATTTCAATTTCAACCAAAACATAACTCTTTAATTGATCCGGGTTCAAGACCAAATCTGCAAAATTTATAAGAACTTATAATTATAATTTATAATTAAGACAAAATAATTAAAGAATTATACACACACACACACATACATACACACACACACATTAAAAATATAAACTACCATCAAAACGCAAAATTTATCTTTGTTTATGTAGAATATCCTCACTCAAATGCCCCCATGTGTTATTCCAAACAAAATCTAGTCGACACAATTGATTAGAAACCAACAAAGTTGCAAATAGCATGCGTAAAAAGGTGTCAGTACCCCAATGGCTTGCCTCCATAATTGCATCCACAAACTCTTTATCATCGTCTAGCAAGCCCAATGCAAAACATGCATATTCGAAAGTGTTGTATTTTACATTATTAATTGTTTTGATATCATCATAAGATTTAGAACCTTTCACATAATTCAACAAAGTTCTCAAATAGAGCATTTTACTGGACCCAGGTGCTACAAAATGCAGTCTTCCAATTGAAAAACTCATTTAACGTGGAGCCCATCGATGATCGCTTTCTTTCCGTACAAACTTTGTCGGGAACTCGTTGTATGTAAGATTTTGTGCTTCAACATATTTTTTGTTAGCATCCATCCATGCCAAAATTTTGGTGCTCCCAATATATGGCTTATTTATAACCTGTTCAATTGAAGCATCGTCAGAAAAAACCACGTACTGCTCATCCTCAAGGTGAAAATTCATCCTTTCAATTGATGGTTCTCTGTAATTAATATCAAACACAAATATCCTCCAACCAGCTTCACATGCTGATAAATATCTACAGTCATAATACATCTTTATTTCATCAAAAATCTGAGAATTATCTCTATCATCAGCACCCTTGTAAAATCCAACAGTAACACGAGCATGCCCTTTGTTGACATATTTAAAAAGATACTTTATAAACCACAATTGATTGCACCACTCCATATTAATATGAGCATTATACTTCAATGACAAATTTTTGTTATATGGAACCACAAATCTATTATCAACAAATAATTCTCATTTTTTAACGAACATGTCATTGTCTCTTCTTCAATATACAAGATAACCTTCTAAGTCAATAATTGTACCATGAACAAACTTTTTTGGAAAGTGCTTGGTACATCTACCCTTTTGCCTGCACGCAAATTTTTTATTTTGAGCACCGCAATGACTATGTATTATAAGTGAAGATACAATCTTAAACAACTCAGGATCTACATCTTTATCTGGAATCTCGGCGGATATTGTTTTGTCTATATCATAAGGATAGACAAACATATAACTTGGTTGCAAGAAAGCCAATATGTGAGCATGCAGAAGTCCACGCTTTTGAAATTCAATAGTATAGATCACTAAAAAATAAATATAAATAAATAAATAAATAAGTGTGTGTGTGTGTGTGTGTATATATATATATATATATATATATATATATATATATATATATATATATATATATATATATATATATATATATATATATATATATATATATATATATGTGTGTGTGTGTGTGTGTGTGTGTGTGTGTGTGTGTGTGTGTGTGTGTGTGTGTGTGTGTGTGTGTGTGTGTGTGTGTGTGTGTGTGTGTGTGTGTAAACATCTGCACCTGCTTTAACCTTGCCAAAAATATCTCCTTTCTTGATATCTTTTACTAAATGGTCAAGTTTATTTTTGAACAACCGACTTACTAAATCGGGTCGATCCTCTGACCTAAGTTGATATGTCTTCAAAAAATCAACCATTTCAGACCATTTATGGTTGCATGTGAAGGTGGTAAACAAATTAGGATATCCATCCCAAGAACAAACAGTCATAGCATACTGATAGTTTTGTATCATATTTCTTGCTCCACCAACAAAACTTTACGGTAAAACAATTATTTTTCCTACTTTTGTTGCATCAGTTTCTCCTCTGAGAACGACCTTAGTTAATCCTTTGTGCATGTTAGCTCTTAAATGTTTCTGATGATCTCTCATATAATTCAAGCGAGTGGGCTCTATTGTACTAAAAGAACCCACCAAAAATTGTTGAAACAACCTTCTAGAAAACACTAGTGATAAGATATTGGTATCTCTTTGTTGAATCCTACAAGCAACCCACTCCAACTATGTAATAAATTGTATATTTGTTTGTAGCTTTTCTTGGATTGTCTTTGAAAGAAATGTCTTTTCTATATTCATCCTCTCCTATAGAAAATAACAGCTACTACCACTCAAAATACACACAGTGTAATCAATTACCTAAATCAGAGTAACCTATTACACCCTAACAGATTTGCCCAAAAACACCATTTTCAACAGTGTAACCGGTTACCCTATTTCTGATAATCGATTACACCTGCAGTAAAATCACTTTTCTGCTACTTATCAGTATAAAAAGCACTTTTGACCCACTCCAAAATCCCATTTTTCATATAAATCATGTAACCCATTACTTTACTCGAAAATCGGTTTTCATCAACACCAAAACCTCAATTTCTTTTCCCAAAAACATTCATAACATTGTTTCGACTCTGACTCGCGATCACATACAACAACATAATATCGACATCAACAATTTCATTGGAATCATAAATTCCAATAGCAACAACACAATAATACCACAATCAAACATCGAATACAACATCAACATACAACATTCATCGAGAAATCAATCAAATTCAACAAATACCATTCCATCAAAATTATGAACAAAAAAAAACATAAAACCTACATGATAGAATCTACCTACCATTATCATGTTAACCCTTAGATAATTAGAACCTCACCCTTACCTTAGAGTTCTTGCAATTCTTCTACCTCAACAATGGGGTATCCTCTTTCATTGCACTAGCTCTCACTTCACATTCTTTCTTTTATTTCTCCAAAAAACATGTTATGATCAAATTCCCTCTCAACTTCTCCTCTTCTATTATTATTTGATCTTGACGATTGATCAGAACCTAAAGTGGGCCAGAGACAAAGGCTTGTGATGATGGATGTGATAGAGGATAAAGGGGGTGTACCTGCAAGACACTCTGATGCTAAAGTAAGAATCAGGAAAGAGAGAGAGAGAGAGAGAGAGAGAGTACAAATTATGAGTATATCAGGGTGAATATTGGATACCTGGCCCTCTAAAATGAGAGGATTTTTTTAATTCCCTCAGCTCTTGGCCATTGGTCCCTATTTCTAGGGCGAGATAACTGTTTCCCGAATAATAGGTAACTGCCAGAACTAGCCATTGGAACGAGCAGTGTAACACCCTTTTCTACCCCACGATTATTAAGGCAAAATAACACAAATATCAGAGTAAATTATTAAATTTTAATAAAAAGTCACCAAAAAGGGCGTACATTTCCCAAATCCTCAAAATAGGTCAAGGCTCCATAAACAACGGGTTTTCCCAAAATACATCAAATTGCACAAAGTAGCGGAACTTAAAGGCATAAATCAAGGTTTTCCTCATACGAGAAGATAAGCAAAATAACTCAACAGGGTAAGTTTAACTCAAAAGAACCCAACTCGATGTTACATATCAGAGCAGGATCCCCTAAGTTAACCAAAAAGGCTAACAACTCAAAGACTTCAAAATATCCTCAACGACGTCCATGACTAAACCTGGTCATCTGCACGTTACCCACGTGGAGGTAACATTCAAACATGCAGGGTGAGTAAAACAACTCATAATAAATGACATCATAATCATATTCAACATATTCATATCCTTTAATATGCCTCAAAGGCCACAACGTCATAATTCATATAAAAAGACCCATAAATGCAAAATGCAACAAAACTCAATGCATTTGGTACCAATCATCACAGCTCGATGGACACTGGGTCATCAACCCTCCATAGATCCCCATCAATAGGATCAATTTTACGTGAGAACTGAAGCACATCAAAATACTTCACATCCACACAATGGGATTGAAGCTAAAGAAATCGAGGTCCTGAACTGAAGTCCGGATGCACATGAATGCATGATGCACACGTCACAAATCATCCTTATAACAACATTGTAGCTGCATCATCATTCATCATATTCATCATCATCAAATGTCATAGCTTATCATCATAATCATCATTATATATCATGTCATCATAGCTCATCATAATAATCATTATCATACATTATATCATCATATAATCATAATAATCAGCATCATACATCATAGAAATCATCATATAATCATATACATATCATATAACACTCATAATCATACTCATATTAATTCATCATATTATCACATATTATCACATATTAATTCATAATTATACTCGTGGTAATTCTCATACTATCGCCTATTAATCACATAAACTTCACAGTCCTACTCATGTTAATTCATCATATTATCACATATTATCACAATTACCCTCATGGTAATTCATCAGGAAAGTCGCAGCATCAAAACATCAAGACATCACTGAACCAGAACATGATTCATTAATAGAACATTTACACAATTGACATCTCAAATATAATTAGATATAAAAATATTGGGAAACAAATTCCCTTATCTATAATATGTTATAACCCTGTTCATTATATTTCCAACGATTCGAACGGTGGCCAAAACAGACTTACTGGATCAAAAGTTACGTCTAAAACGATTTTGACCAAAAACATGAACAGTCGTGACGGACAGCAAAACGCTGTTACGCTCCAAAATCTAAATCAACCCAAAAGTCCACACGATTCACTTCCCCAATGCCCCCAAAACATCCCTAAATCATCCTTAAGGTCTTACGGCAATAGAGGCACAAAACCTACGGTTTACTAGGTCAATACCGTAACATATTCACGCCCTATATCACAATTTTCCTTTCAATTACACCCTAAGGCATCAGAGTTACTCACTATCAAATATACTTACCCCTTCAGGGTCAGACATATAACAATTAAAGGTTTTGGCCACAAAGGCTTACTTTTCCCTTTTCCCAACGGATTCCACTGTTAGATTCACCTATAACAGATTTAGGCCACGAAGGCCAAAGATTACTATTTCTCATATCTATGCTCTAACAGTCAGGAATACTTACCACTACACCACAATCATCAGGGTTCTCACTATCAAATTTCCCTACAAGGTTAGACCAATGTCAAATAAGAGTTTTGGCCATGAAGGCCTAGTTTCCCTTTTTCTCACAATCAATCTCAAAATCCCTTAAACCCTTAAATCATCCATAATTACATTGAAAGTTACACATGGAAAATCATGAAAGGCTATACTCCCCATACATTAGTTGTCGATCAAAGCCTTCTCAATCTTTCAGGGAATCTCTCGAAGCTTCTGCCTTCAATCTTCTCCTCAGAGCTCTGGCCTCAATACTTTTCACGGTTAACAAAATGAATTCTAATTCCCTTCAGAATTCCTTTTTGTCAAACATAGTCTTGGGCCACACAATTGGGCTTTTTCCATAACACTCTTACTAACTCCTCTTAATGTCCACATTACCCTTATTTCACTTATATTTATTTTAACTAATAATAATACTAATATTTCCATATTGTATACTATTAATTAAATAAATAATCCACAAAACTACCAAAAATCACCGAAAACTGAATATTCTTAATTGAATAAATTAATTACAATATTCCAATTAAATATAGAGTGCTACAGGCAGAGGTGCCCATAACTAGTCGTTGCTACGGGAAGGGGCGCAGTTATGGGCACAAGCGTCTTGGCTGTTTCTGGATGGTGGAACCGTGCGTGACGGGCAAGGACTGCCGAGGAGAAGCATTATAACTAAGGGTAAATTGGCCAGCCTCCCCTATTAGAGGATAGAAAGGTAAATACTTCCTCCAAATTGGGTGGACTTAGGCAATTGGACCATTTTAGGAGCAGAAGTAGATTAAATCATGCCTAGACATTGGGCCAGTCCAGAACAATAGCCCCCAAAGTCGTTGCTCCCGAGCATGGGAGTGATGACTTAAGGATAATTCACTTTTCGGGCAAGGTCATCGCTAACCGCAGAGTTGGGGTTATCACCTTGTGCACGAAGGCATTTGTGCCCTGGCATCTGTTACGCTGCTTGTAAGGGAGCTCACGGTACTGGGAGACCAACGGTTAATGGGATCTAAATAGGGGAAGCGCCATCTATGTCTCGAGTTATGTGCTGCATTTAATGTGTAATGATGGCTTGGCTAGGGTCACGATGATGTCCCTAGCCGCGTGTGCTCGTGTACGTGCCTGGAATTGCCTATAAATAGAGTGAGGGTCCGCTCATTTGTACTTTTCACTTCTCTCTCTTCTTTCATCTTATGTTCTATGTTCCTTGTCATTTGCTGCTATTAAGCTCTGTCCGACCATCGTACAAGCACCAGCCAAAGCAATTTAAATCCAAAAACTTCGTCCCCGACCATGTAAGTATGTTGATTCCTTGCTTGTTGTTTGTTTTGCTGATTTTTGCATCTTAGATTGCATGTGGTTAGGGTTGCTACAAATTAGTTTTAGGGCGTTTTCTAGTTGCTTTTGGTGGCAGGCGGTGGTTTGGCCATATTCTCTGTTGTCGACGCCGTAGTGACTGTCAGGAATTTAGGACTTAGAAACTTTGTAAGCTTTTTATTGATCCTGGTATCGTAGCGACACAATAGTGTTCGTAGCCGGAGGGAACCATAAATTCCAGTATGCTTATGAGTTTTTCGATGGTTTCCTCTTGAAGGTTATGGGTTTTATACACGAGGGACTTTTCCACGGATGTGTTAGAGAGATCTCCCGGACATTTCCTCATTTGTTAGTTATGCCATTTGAGTAGAGCTTAGGTCGGGGACGCTGTCTTCGACCCTTTGCGCGCCCTTTCATTTGACTAGTAGTGGAAGAGCAGATTTGATTTTGTCATAGAAATCACTTTTT